CCCCCCCCCCCCCCCCCCCCCCTCGTTTAATGAATTTACAATAAATACATAATAAGTAACTATTCAACCAGGTTTGTTAAATACATTACCACCTCCACCAGTAAAAGTGAATGAGGAAGAAAAGAAGACAAAACAATCACCACCACCTTCAGAAGATCAACCAAAAATGGAGTCTCTTACCAAGACGACGCATCAGCAGCAGCATCATCATTAACATCAATAGTGGCATTACAACACCGACGTCATAGAAACAATAATACGATAACCTGAAGGATTGAAATTTTTATTATTTTCAATTTCTATTTAATTCATACTTGTTTATTCATTATTATATCGATAAGATCGAGTTTCGAAATCACTATAGATCACTGAGCTTCATTGAAATCATTTTAACCCCAATTTATTATAATGCCTATAATTATTTCGAATGGTTTGAAAAATGATCATCGATGAAGGCGAATTTAAAAATACATTTCATATTAAAAAATGCAATGTTCGCACTGAGACAGAAAAAGTAACGATGACGCGGATTTTATAATTTTTATCGTTGTACATAATACACCTACATGATAAATACAGAATTTTCATGCAAACTTGTTCGAATCTTGATTTTCTTATTCTAAATTCTACTGGACATATCATCAGCTACATTTACAAAGAACTACTTTTTACTTACCCCATATAAAACTTCATCGATGTTTGAATTAGAAAATATGAAAGAAAAGATCAAAATGAATGAAAAAATTAAACGAATAATATATCGCATAGTATAATAGATAAAATAGAAAATTTGCTGAAAAAGATTATGGACAAATATTACTCTGAATAGTAATAGTTTACTTACTTTCGACCATTTCTCCCTTAGAAATATATTTCTTAACAGGGACAAGTGTCGATAAAAGGCTAGTGTAACTGAACCTGAACTTTGGAACAAACTTGATGAAGCACCTAATTGACATGTTTTCTTGTTCGAATTGCACTAATTTCTCTATAAAGTAGAGAATCATATTTTTTACCCAATAATCCTTATCAATATTTAATGTATCAGTTCATGATTCGCTCGTAACTTTCATCGTTATTAAATATTTTACATTACAGCGATGTATGTGTATGTTGTGATCGTGAATGTATTTGCGTGTGCATGTGTGCATTAGTGTATATATGATCGCTTGCACGGTATCGCGTCGGGGATAATTTACATTACTGGGATCATTTTTTTTATTTTTTCATGTCAACAAATGATATATTTTTAGTGCCTATAGTACTTATAGTTTTACAGTACATTTCTCGTTAGATTTAAACAATTACAAATGAACATTCTCCAACACTCAAAAACGGAACTCTAATGTTTCCCTTTCACAAAACTACCTTTCTCTCTGTTGCTTGCACGCCCATACACACGCATATGCATACCACGTACACGGTTTTCTGTCACTTTCACCCATATTCAATTTTTTTACCTCCCTTTCTTTCCCTTACTCTTTCGTTTACGTGTTCGCTTTTAAATTACTTATTTAATCATTCATTTTTCTTCGTTTCGCGCGTCTCTGGCGTATCTTATAAACGCGTATATGTCTCGTGATGTATTTTCCGTGCAACGCAAGGATAAAAAATTTTCGAGTTTCTATGGTCATAGTAATAAGTCTTCAAAATGCATAGCGTTATTGATTAACAATTATCGTAACAACATTTTCTTTCTTAAATATATTAAGAATCGTTTCTTAACGATGATCTTTCTTTTCTATCATTTACGAAGTAGTGGTATGAATTTATTCTGTTCCTTATTATCGTTCAATTACAAATTTATCCACGTACTCAAAAATTGAAGTCTCAAATTTTCATATGCGAGAAGAAAATGAGGGATTCGAGAAAGAAAAGGTAACGTGATGCAAGGAAAAAAGATTTGAATTCACGACAACGTCGGAAAAGGACGGGATTATTAAATAAAATATGACATCGAATAGTCTGGCAAAAGTTAGGTTTTGAAGTTGCTTGATCGCTATCTCTTTTCACTCGTGTACTAGGGCAACATTAATTTTCCGGCGAATTTTATCCACATTGGACTTCGACAATCTTGTACTTTCGAGATAACTCTTATTAATTCACAATCATTTTCCTCATTTTTCACATACGCATATGCATACATACATACACACATCACATACCCATCCAATCACTCGCAACAAATGTAAATACACATATATACATACACACATGGCGCACGCACACACACGCGCGCGCGTCAGGCATATCAGTGTAATAATATCAAGAATGTCAAGACCTTACATTATTGCTTAGGAAAAATTATGCATCAAAGTTAAGGTCTTTCCAGTCAAGATGTCTACCTTGGTAACCCGATTTATTTGCTAAAAGAAAGAATTTCATGATTTGATAGATATTAATGGTATGTTGATAAATCTGAGAGAATAATTTTTAAATGGAAGAATCGCTAAAATCAGAGGTTAGAGGGAGCTTTTTAATTGTATCGCGTTGAATTCAATGAGTTAACGATCTTTCAGTTGGTATCGTGTAACAAAAATAGTAAACAACGAATTTTAACGAATCGTTGTAAGATGATTATAAAGGAACGAAAATCAAATTTTCATATTACTATAGGTAATATCTAATCAAAATTCTCAAGTGCATCTTTGGATGGTACATATGATCCATCATAGCATGTATCGTATGTAGTTATGAATATAGGGAATCTATGCTCGTACATACAGTAGACTCTAGAAACTAGATCAGATCGATAACCTAATTAATTAACGTATAATTAGCTGCGTTTGAATCCTCGTTCCGTGGGTTAAATATTCGAAAAAGGACGTTACATGCAGGGGTTCGTATTTTGGAAAAGGTGTCCTATTAACCGACGAATGAACTCGAAACAATAACGTTTTCGATAATTAGTTACCTCGAGTACATGATGTGTACATATCATATATGATGCATATATGTATACGTAGTATCTAAAGACGTACGATCGTTGCAAAAAACATAGAACCCTTACGAACGGAATAAATGATTAAGGAAGAAGCGAATGAACGCAAAAAATGCGTGTTACTGTGCTCGAGTTATTTCCAGAATTATGTCAATTATCGCGTTTTCGTTAATTTCCTTTATTTCTGTGCCGCATTTTGAAGAAACTCGTGTCTAATCAAATGTACATGCATATGCACGCCAATGCACGCACGCCCGTTCTCATTCGCGGTTTGCTTACAATTTGTCACTGTTCCTTTCTTCGTTTCGAGAACACTTTCGAACCTCATTCGTCGTAAAATTACACGCTGTTTCCTTCTCCTCTTTTTCCTTATTCTCGCCATGCATACACACATTCGCTCGCATTCACGCATGCACGCACACGTATACACGTTCTTTCTCTTTTGTCTCTGTTTTTCTCAGTTTCTTACATTTTCGTCCTTTTTCACTTTTGTTTGTTAATCATTCTTTCATTCGTTTAACTCAGCTTGATTCGCGTACAATGTACGCGTTACTGAAGTAGACGTCGATAATTATCTTTGGAATTAAATGTAATCCACTTTTCGGTACAATTAGTGCGGTTAACTAACCTATACTATTAACTATGTTCACAATGATCGCTACAATTTACTCATAGTTCATAGTATAAATGTCGACAGCTTACGATACGTACGCTACGCTAACATCGGATTCAAAGTGGTAGTTTCAAGTGCGACGCGCTATCGGAAATTTCATTTTCCTCGGTCGAACATGTCCGTTTAACGATTCTCTCCTCTGGTATCGTAACCGATATTCACATCCGTGATAGGTATGTGTCCTGTTTTCCTTTCTCCTCTTCTATTCCTTTGGTTTTTCTTTTCATTTTGTTTTCGTAAGGCAGGAGCAGAAAACAAAGTCAAAGAGATAAAAAATTTCACGAGCCCCGGTACTCGTGCATTAAAGTGACGCGTTCTTCTCACCGTTTTCGCCTTTCCTTCATTTTCATTTTCTCCCTTCTCGTCAACGACCTCCAACCTTTTTTGTCCTTCGTATTCGCATTCATTTTCTTCTTTCTCTTCTTCGTTTTCTTCTTCTTCGTATGCGACAAGCGACGTTTAATAATCCTACGTAAAACTATGCGTTAACACGCCTATTTAATTGCGGGCACGAGGGGTTAAGTATATATTTACGTTACGCGCTTAAATACAATTGCTAATTAGTTTTACAATACGTTCAACATCTTTGTCCTCCTGATTTCTCTAAGTACCGTTATCTTTTTTCTTTTCTTTTTTGGTTAACAACAACAGATTTACTTAACTCTAATTATGTTTCTGGTTTGTTACTTTCTAAGGCCTTGTTTCTAGCACAAATCCTGCTGTCGCTAAGGCAGTGGCTCTTTTAACTTTCTCTCTCTCTCTCTCTCTCTCTCTCACTCACTCTCTCTCTCTCTCTCTCTCTCTCTCACTATCTATCTATCTATCTATCTATCTATCTATCTATCTATCTATCTATATCTATCTCTATCCATTTCTCTCTCTCTCCCTCTCTCTCTACCTCCTTCTTTTTCTCATACACATACACGCACACACACTTATATCCGTACATTCATACTTGTATACGCACGTGCTTGATCTTTATCTGCATAATTTGTTCGTTTCGCGATGAATCGTAACAGACTTCTGGTGCGATCAAAGCTTGCGTAAACGATCAAGTTCCACAAAGAAACATTAGATTGAACGACCAGAAACTCGAGGCCGAATTTCTCTCGGATTTATCCGAGACGAGCGTGTATTGCAAATCGTTTACATTCAACCCTTTCACAATGAAAGAATCTTTTAAACTTATTCCGTGTCAAGAAATCAAAAAAGAGTGGGCGAGTGAGTGAGCGAGTGAGAGTGAGAGTGAGAGGAGAGGTGGAAAGAGGACAAGAAGAAAGAAAGAAAACTCAAACTCTCTAGAAGTAGCATTAAGGCGAAATCAGTGGAATAAAAAGGAAACGTTCTGGTCAGTCAGATTTTCAACAATGCTACCAGAAAACATGCAACTCGTGTAAATGTTCAGATCTGTAAAAGTTACGCAAGTTACGAAAGAAAAAAGCGCTGACGGGACAAAATGGGAAGAGAAACTAAAGCAAACGAATAGCTCTGGTCGCACCTCTATCCTAACCTTGTCCAAACTGCGTTTTATCGTAGTAGATACATCGATTATAGATATGAAAAGCAGTAATCGGAGAAAAACGAGCGAAAGCACAACGACTAGGTAGACGTAGAAATCGTTCAGAACGTAGATGTCGTTGCTGCCCGGTTTTATACGAATGCTCTACGTTGGGAAACTTACAAGATCAATACGTAGGCTGGTCTTCTTGCCTCTCTCCCTCTCGCACGCAATATTGCATACACATACACGCACACGTACAAATCCTCGCGCTCTATCCCCCACCATTTCATCCCTATTGCCCCTACATTCTCTTCTTCTTTCTTCCGCTAATTTTATATGGCGGCACTCTCACTCTCTCACCTCTCTTTATCGCTCTGTACGCGGCTGACTCCACTGAAACTCGAGAACCTCTCAAACTCGTATTTCTTCA